GTCGATTAAACGTTTACACGGTACGATAAATATGTTAAATCTGTATGCTCGCTGCTGGACTCGTAGAAAGGCTGGTCGGTAAGAACTCGTGTCGAATCTCGAGGCACCGCGAAACGGCTACATCTACCACGACTGTTTAATTGTTTATCTCATAAATAAATTGAAATGACTAGGTCCCGAAGAGAACCCGACACTGCTTCACTTCGCGGCACGTTTCGGCCTGGAGAGACTGGCCTGGCAGCTCCTCGAGTGTCCAGGGGGCGAGATAGCTTGCGACCTGAGGAACGTGTCGGAGCTGACGCCCGCGGATCTTGCGGAACAAGCGGGACACGCGAGACTGGCGCATCAGCTTCGTGGCTACATGGTACAAAATCGCCTTTAAAGCGACGTGAAAGTTAGTCGAATGGAATCCGGTACTTCTAATAACTCTAACGCAAATTAATCAAATTCAATTAGCCAAAGTCGAGTCAGTTCCTATCGTAAAACATTTCAGTCCTTTGTCGATGCAATAAACGCTTTGATTAAAAATTAATCGATTTGTACAATTCGGGGTCGCAGATGCAATTGCAGAAATCTGCGATCCTGGCACGACTTAAAAGTTCGATCGCTTCGGTCGATTAACTGGTATCATTTATCTTCTGCATGTTTCGGGCATCCCCTTGGATCCTCGCAGCAAATGAACGAGTTCACTAACATGTACAGCTACCTGAAAGTGATCAGCGAGACCACGACAGACCAAGCTGCGAGTGAGTGCATTCCTCGTTTCATTTCGTATGGTTTCTCGATTAGGAATGTATCGAACGTGGATTTCCAGATGCGGATCCATCGTCGACTAACGAAGCCACTAACGATAAGGAGGATTATTGCCGTCCGCGGCCTTTAAGCGAGGCTTACTCGGTGCCACCGGCCGCGAGGCCAATAACGTCTCTGATCTTGCCAGGCCAATCGCCGGTAGTAACCCCTGAACCGAGCACCACCACTACCACCACCCCGTTAAACCCCATCGAAGCGAATTACTCGATCGTGCCAGCACCGACCCCCGTCGTCTCTGCGAACGGCCTCGAGCTTCCGCTTCAAGGATACATGAAAATGCATCCAGCTGGTGAGCAGTCGACTCGATCAAAATTGTAAATCACTCGAATCCGTC